CTTGAGATAAGGGGTGTAAACCAAAAAAAGATTCATAAGTGGTTGTTAATGGAGTTGAAGTTACCAAATTCTGCGGAATCGGTATCAATTTATGCCGAATTGCCCCACATATAGTTCCTCGAACCAGATTTTCTAAACGAACCAGAGCCAATCCGAATTGATCTTGTAAAAGATCCGCTACAGAACGAATGCGCTTATTTTTCAAATGATTCATATCGTCAAGTGTACCCATTCCAAATTTCAGTCCAATCAAATGATCAGCGGCTGCCAATATGTCTCGTGGTAACAAAAATGTATTGTTCTGGGGTATATCAAGGTTCAGTCTTCGGTTCATATTTCGTCGACCAATCCTTCCTAATTCACATCTTTGTTGAAAGAACTTCTTTTGTAATTCCTTAGATAAGGATTCCGAAAATATCGGGTCCCCGCCTACGCAAGCAAATTGTTGATAAAACTCTAAAATGGCATTTTCTTTTGATCCTATTTTTTTTCTCTCCCTAGCATTCAGAAAAGACAAAAAAATTTCAGGATAATAAGCATTGTCTAGAATTTCTCTTAGATTCGAACCCATAGCTGATGATAGAACTAGAATAGAGATTTTTTGTTTTCTGCTCACGCGAGCCCATATCCTTGCTTTTCTATCAATCTCGAATTCTGATCTTCCTCCCCAATCTGATATTATGGTGCCAGTATAGACGGAAATTCCGTTATGATCCAATTCTGACCGGTAATAAATACCGGGGCTTTGCAGTATTTGATTGATCACAATTCTATATATTCCATTTACTATAAAAGTTCCTATGGAATTCATTAGAGGAATGTTTCCAATCAAAATAGTTTGTTCTTGCATATCCCTGCTGGTTTTCCAAATTAATCCGGCGGATACATATAATTCAGAAGAATATGTGAGGGATTCATACACAGCATTTCTTTCCTTTATCAACGGTTCTACTAATTGATATCTTTCTACAAATAATTGAAATTCGATTTCATGATCTGTATCTTCAATTTTTGGAAACTTATAAAATTCTTCTGCCAAACCCTGATCAATGAACCTACAAAATCCTTCAAATTGGATCTGATTAAACCCAGGTATTGTAGACATTGCCCCATTTGCATCCCCCAGCATTTTGAATTTCCCATTTATCAAAAAATCCCATTCTATTATTAATATTAAGTACATTCTTCATCGAATTAGATCGACGATCTAGCACCGATGGAATTTCGATTCTGTTTACTGAATCACATGAAATTTGACCCAACTCTCTATTTGGAATGAAATGTATGAACTACGTATGAACAGAGGAATAAAGAGAATTTTCTACTTAAATTGTAAGTTGCAACAGATCCAAATGCAAAGGAATTGATAAAAAATCCTAGAAACAGAATTCTACTTATTAATTATTAAGGTCATAGGGTTTTATATAGAATAGCAAAACAAAAAAGAAAATGCTTCAAATTAGACCATTATTATGATATTAGATCTTCGAATTTTAGAAAAATCAAAAGATTCGGAGACAAAGACAAAAAAATCAGATAGAATCCTTAGCACTTAACTACCTTTCTGTTAGTCTGTTAGGGATTTCGTTGTTCAAAAACGATTCTCAGAAAAGAGAGATATTTCTACTTTAATTATTTGTGTTTGTGAGTCCAATACAATTTGAAGTGTATAATATAAGAAGGGTTGCATTTAATAAACATGTATGCAGATAGCTAGAATATCCGACGTCTCTTTTATTGCCGGTTCTATTCGGAATAGCCCGAGTTGGGCTCTATCAAAAGAGCATTTCGATTCAATGCAAAATTGAAGCGAAGTAGGATAATTTTATTAGAATTCCCTACCGACAACATATCGAAATAATAGATATCTATCTAAGAATTTAGGTTTTAGGGTTTACATATGCTCATATGTTTTGTTATAATTCCAATTGAAACAGATTTTTTTTTTTGAAAAAATCAATACTAATTGGTTCTGTTTCAATTGGAATTTTTTTAGGTCATTAGGAAAACACAATTTAAGATTCCAATCCCAGAATTGTTCCTGAATTTAAAGTAAGCAATCAATAGTTACTGGTTCCAATTTTTCGGCTGAAAATACACATTTGGTTTCTTAATAGAAAAGCGATAAAATGTTTTTAGCATTGTGTATTTTCAGATACTGGAAGGATAGATCAAATACAATCAAAAAGGGATCTTTTTTTTAGTAAAAGGATTAGGAAAAACAGGAATCAAAATGAAAGTACAATAAAAATTCATAAATTCGGGAAAAATTTAATCTATTTTATATCATTTTGGCGGCATGGCCGAGTGGTAAGGCGGGGGACTGCAAATCCTTTTTCCCCAGTTCAAATCCGGGTGTCGCCTGATGAACAAAAAACTTGAAAGCTCTGCTTCTCTTCTGCTGATAGAATTCGCAAAATTCTTCCCCGCTCAAAGCATACAAAGTTGTTTGATTCTAAGCATGTGATCCGGGGTTTTCGAAAAGAAAAGATTGTGAATCTTCAGTCACATCTAGGATTCAAAGAAATATTCGAATACACGGGTCGAAGGACTATTAAGACTTCATGATTCCTTTCTATTACTAGGAGTGTCTAATCACTGGGTCTTGACTCAGATTCTAGAACCTGAGAGAAAATTCAATTAATAGTTTTGGAAAGGGCCGGAGGTTGCTTTCTATACGACGGCCTCACAAAAATCTCTGAGTGCTCCGGTATCCAATCAATATTTACTATTGATTTCTCCCCTTCTGTGTTGACTTACGAAGGTCAACAAAACAAAAAAAATAGACCTTCTTTTTATTATTCCTACATGTTCTCATTCCCTTGGGATGTTACCACGTATTTTACTTGTGTTTAATCTTTCCCAATTTGAGATCAGAATCGATTTTTTGGATTGGTTTCTCAATAGTGTTCGGTCAGAATCCCTTTTTGACTCTGCACTATGGATTCCACTATTATAATTCTAATATTATTAATGAGGAATAATTCCTTCGTATTTATAGAGATCGAGATAGAGGACATAATTCACATGGATATAGTAAGTCTCGCTTGGGCTGCTTTAATGGTAGTCTTTACATTTTCCCTTTCACTCGTCGTATGGGGAAGAAGTGGACTCTAGAAGCACTACTAACTGAGTTGAAGAATCAAACCGTATCAATTGTTTTATAGATCGTTCTGCAACGCGTTTTGAACTTAAAAAAAAATCTCTGAATTTGGAATCCAGTTGGATTCCAATAGAGTAATCTATGATATGAATGATACTCTTTCAATCAAAGAGATATTTCAGCGATTCCCGTGCTTGTATTTGGAAAAGAAATTGATTCCAACCAAAATTTTCTATTTCATGGGTTCTTACTATCTTTATAGGTATAGATGGATAGTGAGGGAAGACCAGATCTTTTTTTGATTTCTTTCCTGTTCAAAGAAGAAGTCGTTTTGTTAAGCATATACATACTTTATATGAGAAATGATATAGAGATAGTGGTTGTCTAACAAGAAACATAAGATCTTGCCTCGGACAAATCACATATTGGGCATTTACCATAATTTGAGAAAGGCGATTTAGCCTTTATCAACTTAATTTCATATCATGCTTTCAGCGTTCAAAATGGGAAAGGTTTCCTCTTCCTTATTGAAATCGAATCCTACGATAAGAATTATTTCCGATTGATCGGAACAAATAGACGCAGCAAATTGGGTGTTATGTCAATTCCATACCCATAACAATATATGGAATTAATTTCCGCGTTTATGAAGAGAATATTGGAGATTGATCTATAGAAACTTAAGCCTTCTAGATTACAACTTTCTAGACTAAGAGATAGATGGGATGGTAAGAAAGAAATGGATGAATCCTTCTACCATCCGATCCATCTCTTAGAATACTTCCGATTCTAGTCCGCTCATTTCATCTAAGTTAAGACGTGAAATTCGAATCCTTTTCAGTTAACTTCGTCAATTTTTGATCAGAACTCAGAAGAAAAGTTTCATTCAAATGAATTTCAAAATGCAATTGAATTAATCATTTTGACTGACTGTTTTTACGTAAATGATAAGTAGAAAGGCGGTAGGAACTAGAATGAATAGTGCAGTAGCAATAAATGCAAGAATATTTACTTCCATAATCTCATTGGTTTTTTTACTTCGCAATAACTCGGGATTTAATCCCCTAGAGACGATAAATCTTTCGTCTGTAAATTCAATGAATGAATTACCTCTCGATGTCGGATCAATATCATGAATAACAATATCTGATCTATCAAATCAATTCGTTGTCGAGACTTGATTAGTATAACATAGGAAGTTCTTTTCTCCATATCGAATCCAAATTGGGATTCCTGACCCAATCAATCAAAAATTTCTTTATTTAGCATCGGTTTCTTTTTTTGTTCTAGAACTTACCTTGCGTCTTCGTTGGACAATCATCTGATGAGGGATTATCAGATTGCCCCCCCTTCGATTAATCACATAGTTACAAACTTAAACAAACAATAAAGAAAAATAGTAAAAAAAAAAAAAAAAGAAATCAAGACTCCCTTTTGCTTTGGAAATGAGAGTATGTCCCCGACACCCTTTACTAGTTCAAAAAAAGGGAAAAATAAATTTATGCATTTACTGGATGTTGGATCCGTCGGGACTGGCGGGGCTCGAACCCGCAGCTTCCGCCTTGACAGGGCGGTGCTCTGACCAATTGAACTACAATCCCAGCGAAATAAGGGATCTAGCAGAAAATTCGATTCTTTTTTTATCTTCGTATGGGATGACAGGGGGTTATACAATCTCATGGTGGATTGGCAAATTATTGGGCCGAGCTGGATTTGAACCAGCGTAGACATATTGCCAACGAATTTACAGTCCGTCCCCATTAACCGCTCGGGCATCGACCCAGGAAAAATCCATTTTAGGCTTATTGATAATCCATGATCAACTTCCTTTCTGTAGTACCCTACCCCCAGGGGAATTCGAATCCCCGTTGCCTCCTTGAAAGAGAGATGTCCTAAA